AAGGATGGTAAAACATCAAAATGTTTTACCATCCCACAAGGATGGTAAAACATCAAAACATCCGGGCATCCCCTGGGACAACGTCCTTGCAGATGGTCAATTCTCTCACACCAGAAACGACTTGCAGTTTCTCAAGTCACTCCTGACACAACAAAAAAAAAAAAAAAACCAACCCAAAACCCACCACTTTAAGTTCTATGGCTCCATATTATGGGATCAACAACGCCAATGAGCCCATAGCAGTTAAAGTAGGGTCAAACATGCCTTAACAGGGGCTATTTTATTCCTTTCTTAAAATATTCCTAACTGCCAATTTATGACCTTCCGGGTATTTTGGACTTCAACTCCCACCATTCCTAACAGCCTCAGTCCCCTTCTGAGGCTGTTAGGAATAGTGGGAGTTGAAGTCCAAAACACCTGGAGAGCCTTAAATTGGCAGTTAGGAATATTTTGTCAAATAATGCAATTTGAAGTGCATTATGTCGCTCTACCCCAGGCATGGGCCAATTTGGCCCTTCCAGGTGTTTTGGGCTTCAACTCCCACAATTCCTAACAGCTTCAGGTGGATGAGGGAGGGAAAGAAAGGTCCTGAGGTTGTTAGGAATTGTGAGAGTTGAAGCCCAAAACATCTGGAAGGCCCAAGTTGGCCTGGGTTAAATTGTTCTTAGATCAAAACAAAACCCGCGGACGTTTCTTTCTAATTCCTTGCAGAAAACTTCCCAACTTCACCCTGTCTCTAAACCCTTTTTGCGGGGGGAATAACACCCGAACTCGAAGCGAAAATAAGAGTATATTTGAGAGTAAATCCCTTTCCGTGGCGTGGAATGGCCTTCCCGAAGAAAGGCGCACAACAAGGTTTCCTACGGTGTGAGGTTCCCTTTGCAAACAGCCCAAACGTTGGGTTGTTGAGAGTTTTCTGGGCTGTACGACCATGTTCCAGAAGCATTCTCTCCTGACGTTTCGCCTGCACATAGATGTGGGCAAAACATCAGGAGAGAATTCTTCTGGAACATGGCCATACAGCCCAGAAAACTCACCAACAACCCAGTGATTCCGGCCATGAAAGCCTTCGACAATAGATTAGCACCAAAGCGTGTCTTCATCATAGTCCACCTCGCCTCTGCTTCGGCCCGCTTTAACACGAATTATTTTTGTTTCAGAGGTTTTAAAAAACATGAAAATTTAGGGCACTTTAAAAAAATTATAAGGATACAGGATAGGATCAGGAACAGGTCTATTCAGGAATCAAACGAAGAGACGATACACTAGTGAGACGTTTTTATTTTGTCTTTGTGCAAAGTCACTAGCCGTTTTTAGGGATTGTTCTCCAAATAGTCAAACCCATTAAACCCTTTACAGACATGGGCAAACTTCGGCCCTCCATGTGTTTTGGACTTCAACTCCCACAATTCCCAACTGCCGATATGGGAGTTAGAAGTCCAAAACATCTGTTTTGTTCTGTTCCTTTGGGAAACTTTCCTTTTGTGTTCCTTTTGGAAACTTCTCTCCCGTTAAATAACTTTTTGTCCATGCCTGCGGTAGAATTTCAGTTTAGGTTGGGATGGTTTTGTATTCCCGAAGCAGGCTTTGCTTTTGGGATCCAGGTGCAAAAGGAGAGGGAAGAAAACCTCCAGAACTGCATTTGCACACTGGAGAATTAATGCAATTTGGCACTGATTGAACAGCCACGGCTCCATACTATGGAACCATGAAAATTGTAATTTGACAAAGCCTTCTCTGCCAAAGAGTGTTGGCGCTTCACCAAACTATAAATCCCAGGATTCCATAGTTTTGAGCCATGGCCGTTCAAGTGGCGTCAAAATCCGCTTTAAGCCTACACAGTAAAAGATGCCCCTTTCTCATCTAGAAATATTTTTGCTGAGAAGATGGTGGGAAACATTTTTTCCCAGCCCAACCCAACCCAACAACAACAACAACAACAACAACAACAACAACAATTGTATTTATTATTATTATTATTATTATTATTAATAATAATAATATTAATAAATAATAGTAATGATTTTATTTATTATTCTTATTATTTTAAATTATTAATATTGTTATTATAAATGATAAATAATAGTAAGGGTTTTATTTATTATCCTTATTATTATTGGAAATTATTATTAATATTGTTATTATTATAAATAATGGGAACGATTTATAATATTAATAAATATTAGTAAGGATTTTATTTATTATCCTTATCACCCCCGGTGGCGCAGTGGGTTAAACCCCTGTGCTGGCAGGACTGAAGACCGACAGGTCGCAGGTTCGAATCCGGGGAGAGGTGGATGAGCTTCCTCTGTCAGCTCCAGCTGCTCATATGGGGGCATGAGAGAAGCCTCCCACAAGGATGATAAAAAAAAACACCAATTCATCCGGGCGTCCCCTGGGCAACGTCCTTGCAGACGGCCAATTCTCTCACACCAGAAGCGACTTGCAGTTTCTCAAGTCGCTCCTGACACGACCAAAAAAATCATTATTATTTTAAATTATTAATATTGTTATTATAAATAATAAATAATAATAGGGTTTTATTTATTATTCTTATTATAATTATTCGAAATTATTATTAATATTGTTATTATAAATAATAGGAACGATTTTATTTATTATTATTATTTTCTCCCAAAGCAGTTGCTCTACTCTGAACTCAAGAACGGAAAACGGAGTGTTGGTGGGTAGGAAAAGAGATTTAAAGATGGGCTCAAAGCCAACCTTAAAACCTCTGGCATAGACACTGAGAACTGGGAAGCCCTGGCCCTTAAGCGCTCCAGCTGGAGGTCAGCTGTGACCAGCAGTGCTGCAGAATTTAAAGAGGCACGAATGGAGGGCGAAAGCGTCAAGCCAACCCCAACCTGTCGGACAACGAGGGATCGCCTAAGTAAGTAAGTAATGGGAACGGTTTTATTTATTAGTATTTATGATACTAATATTAATAATTATAAACAGGATTTAATTTATTATTATTATTATTATTATTATTAATAATAATAATAATAATAATAATAATAATAATAATAATAATAATTTTCCCCTGACTCTCCTCTTGGGTATATATGTACTAATATATGTACTTTTATGGATAAAGGACCATAAAAATACATATATTAGAAACATAGAACAAACATTACAACTGCCTCGGGGAGAGAAGGAAGGTTATAAATAAAGTTATTATTATAATTACTGATATTAATAAAATGTCAATTTAAAAGCCACCGATTCAAATGGACTTTAAGTGACTTTCCCAGATAAAATAGCCCAAACCTCTCCAAATACGAATTCTCCTCATTCACTTTTCTTTCGTTCCCTAGATCTCAACCATTTAGAAAATACTGGCTACTTCATCACACTAGAGCAGGCATGGGCAAACTTGGAGTTGAAGTCCAAAACACCTGGAGGGCCCAAGTTTGCCCGTGCCTGCACTAGAGAATGAATCCACTTTAAATCTGGTTTCTGACTAGTGCAAAATTCTGGGGTTTGTAGTTTAGTGAGGCTGTTAAAGTCTCCTCCCTAAACTACAAACCCCAGAATTCTGCAGGAAGCAGCAACCGGATTTAAAGTGGATTCATTCTCTAGTGTGTTGCTGTGAGTTTTCCGGGCTGTGTATGGCCATGTTTAGGATATAATATATTTATTATATGTTTAGGAAATATTTAGGAATTTATTTATTATATTTATAATGATTTATATATTTAATGTATTTATTATATGTTTAGGAAATATTTAGGAATTTATTTATATATTTATGATAATGTATGCATTATTTATATATTCATTATATTTCATATATTTATCATAAGTTTAGGAAATATTTAGGAATTTATTTATATATTTATAATGATTTATATATTATTTATATATTTATTATATTTAATATATGTATTATATGTTTAGGAAATATTTAGGAATTTATTTATTTATATATATATATGATGATTTATATATTATTTATACATTTATTATATTTAATATATTTATTATATATTTAGGAAATATTTAGGAATTTATTTATATATATTAATAATGATTTATTTATTATTTATACATTTATTATACTTAATATATTTATTATATGTTTAGGAAATATTTAGGAATTTATTTATAATAATTTATAATAATTTATATATTATTTATACATTTATTATATTTAATATATTTATTATATGTTTAGGAAGTATTTAGGAATTTATTTATATATTTATAATGATTTATATATTATTTATATTTATTATATGTTTAGGAGGTATTTAGGAATTTATTTATATATTTATAATATATATTACTTATTATACACACACACACACACACATTTATATATATAAAATCAGGGCATTTCCCCCCTAGAAGAATTCCTTCCTTTCCTTCCCCTCCAATTAAATTTTCCTTAATTCCTTCGATTTCTAGCATCTCATCAAAGCTGGAAATCCTATAGGAAATACATTTAGAAATAGTTATTTGACGGGAGAGAAGTTTCCAAAGGAACACAACAAACTGGGAATTATTTCCATCTGTTTGATGAGATGCTAGAAATCGAAGGAATTAAGGAAAATTTAATTGGAGGGGAAGGAAAAGAAGGAATTCACCTAGGGAAGGAAATGCCCTGATTTCGCTCCCGAAGGGAAGGAGAAGAAAACAGAAACAGAAACCTCTTCCTCCTCGAGGGAGAAGAGAAAAAGGAGAACACAAACAATCCTGGCGGGTTTCACGGGCGCAGATCCATCCTTTATCTGCAAAGATTGTGGAGGGTTTTCCAAAAGGAAGGCGGGGAAGGGTTGCATCTGCTCCCCCGTAAATCACAGAAACGGGTTATCAATAGTTGGTTTTGCAACGTTGATAGAGGCCCCGCACACACACCAAGAGAGGGAGAGAGAGATCCCCCCTTCCCAGCTTCTCCAAGCGAGGGATGTTATCTGGTGAGATAAGCCCAGCTGGGGAAGAGATAAGGGGGAGAGAGAGAGAGGCTGGAGGGAGGGAGGAAGGAAGGCACTTACGCGGCTGCAACAGGCGAGGAGGTCCCATCCGTATGGCAGGGAAAGGAGGGTCGGAGAAAGCCCAAAGGAGGAGGAGGATGGATCTAACTCTCTGTATCTCTCTCTCTCTCTCTCTCTGAGAAGAGGATCCCCAAAAGGAGGGAGGGAGACAGGGAGACAAGAGTGTCCCGGCTCTTATCTCGGATCCCCTGATAGCGGCGCCTTCCAGAGCTCCTCTCGCGGCTAATCTCGGCCTTGGAGTGATCCCCTTCGGAGGCGGCTCGGCCCCTTTACGGACCCAGCTGGGGACTGGCCACGTGACCAAGCCTTCTCTCTCTCTCTCTCTCTCTCTCTCTCTCTCTCCTTCTCTTAGCCATAGGGTGGAGAAGGAGGGAGGGGAAAGCTGAGGAGGGAATCTCCCTGCTCCAAGAGTCTCCAAACAACGTTAAGATATCATTATTATTATTCGAAAACCAACAAGATGAGTCCACAGCAAACAGGATCACACTGCTGGCTGTTGTATTGGATTTATTTTATTTTATTTTATTTTATTTTATTTTATTTTATTTTATTTTATTTTTATTTTATTTTATTTTATTTTATTTTATTTTATTTTATTTTATTTTATTTTATTTTATTTACGACATTACTTGGAGGCTCCTTCTTTGGAAGCTTTTAAACAGAGGCTGGATGGCCATCTGTCAGGGGTGATTTGAATGCAATATTCCTGCTTCTTGGCAGAATGGGGTTGGACTGGATGGCCCAGAGATCTCTTCCAACTCTTTGATTCTATGATTCTATGATTTATATGCTTCTCTTCTCACCCCGAAGGAGACTCAGAGCGCCTTATAAGTAATATGTAAATATAATATATTATATTATTGGTGTTGTTCATTCGTTCAGTTGTTTCGGACTCTTGGACCATCCCAAGCCAGAGCTCCCTGTCAGCTGTAACCACCCCCAGCTCCTTCAGGGCTTTATTTCCTGGAGGATGGACTGGTTGGATCTTCTCGCAGTCCAAGGCACTCTCAGAACTTTCCTCCAACACCACAGCTCAAAAGCATCGATCTTCCTTCGCTCAGCTTTCCCTAAGGTCCAGCTCTCATTACTTATAAGTAATATGTAAATATAATATATTATATTATTGTTGTTGTTCATTCGTTCAGTCCTTTCGGGACTCTTCCTGACCTCAAGGACCATCCCAAGCCAGAGCTACCTGTCAGCTGTCACCACCCCCAGCTCCTTCAAGGTCAAGCCAGTCCTTTCAAGGATACCATCCATCCATCTTGCCCTTGGTTGGCCCCTCTTCCTTTTTCCTTCCATTTTCCCCAGCATAATTCTCTTTTCTAAACTTTCCTTTCTCCTCATGATGTGGCCAAAGTACTTCATATTGGCCTCTAATATCCCTCCCTCCAATGAGCAGTCGGGCTTTATTTCCTGAAGTATGGACTGGTTGGATCTTATGTTATTACCATAGCACAATATTAGTATTCTATATTACTATATTGTACTATACCAATATACTGTAATATATTGGTATATATTACAGTATATTGGTGGCGCAGTGGGTTAATCCCCTGTGCCGCAGGACTGAAGACCGACAGGTTGCAGGTTCAAATCCGGGGAGAGGCAGATGAGCTCCCTCTATCAGCTCCAGCTCCTCATGCAGGGACATGAGAGAAGCCGCCCACAAGGATGATAAAAACATCAAATCATCCGGGCGTCCTCTGGGCAACGTCCTTGCAGACGGCTAATTCTCTCACACCAGGAGTCACTCCTGACACAAAAAAAAAGTAATATTACGTGTAATATAAAATATATAATTATAATATCGTATTAATAATAATAATATATTGTATTACATTATAATATTATCAATATTATATGTATATTATATGTATATACATGTCATATTATATTATATTATATATTGGATCACAAGTAGGACACTTCCCAAGTGTCTAGGACTATGTGATGCATCTGTGAATAATGCATGCAGATCCCGGTAGGGTGGCCTTTTGCAGTTGACAGGTGGTAATTTTGTCATCCCGATTGTTTTTAAGTGCAAGCCAAGGTCCTTAGGAACGGCACCCAGTGTGCCAATCACCACTGGGACTGATTTTATTCAGCTGTGTGGAAGAGGCCCCAGAATATCAAGACAGAAAATCCCACATTATCGGCTTTGAACTGGGTTACATGAATTCAAACTGCCATATAACCCAGTTCAAAGCAGATAATGTGGGATTTTATACAGCTGCATGGAAAGGGCCAAAGTCAGAGTGCCAGTGTCGCAGGGCCCTTCCACACAGCCCTATATCCCAGAATGGAATATCTAGGCAGAAAATCCCACAATATCTGCTTTGAACTGAGTTCTCTGAGACCACGCTCAGATAATGTGGGATTTTCTGCCTTGATATTCTGGGATATAGGGCTGTGTAGAAGGGCCCCTGGTCCCCCTCATTGAAGGAAGGTCGCTTGGGACTTTTAAAAACCTTTGTATTTTGAAGAAAGAAGAAAATTATGTTATAACTACAAGTTGTGAGAACGAGGCATCAGACCAGGTGTTTAAAGTAGTTGGTTAGAAAGTGGAATCGAATATTTGCACATATATGTGCATTATTTGTGTGTGTTTTTCTTTGGAGAACTAGGCAGGGTTTCTGTTTCTCTTTCTCTAATCTTTTCCCGACTTCCAGGGATGTAGTTAAGGGGCAAAAGGAGGGCATTTCCCCCAATAATTTCTGCCCCTCCATGAAATTTTTATTCATTCCCCAAATGCCTAGCATTGCAGATGCTGAAATCTCTCTCTCTCTCTCTCTCTCTCTCTAGATAGATAGATAGATAGATAGATAGATGCACATACATTACACACATATATAGAAGAGATATAGGGCATGTGAATGTGTGTGGCTCTCTCCATGAATTTTTCCTTCATTCCCCAAATGTCTAGCATTGCAGATGCTGAAATATTTGTATCTCTATATATTTGTATATATACACACACACTATATATATATATATATATGCACCCACAGATATATGTGTATATGTGTGTGTGCAAAGGGTCACACACATACAGATACATATATATCTCCTTTTTGAGTCTCTCTCTTTATATATTTGTATAGAGTTAGATAGATCCAGATGAAGAGTACTGTGGCTTTGGCAGGATTTTGTATGGCTGAGAGAATGTGACTCACCCCGTGGATTTCCATGGCTGGGTGGAGGTTTGAACCCTGTTCTCAAACCTGGTAGTCCCAAACACATACAAGAAAATGAAAATAGGCAAACATACATGCCTTCTCTTCTTTGGCTTTCTTCATTTGACCTCAAATGTGTTTTATCTATTTTTGGCTTTTCCTTTTTATTGTGTTTATGCTTTATTCTTGGTCAGCTGGTTCTTTTTTATCGTCCAAGTTTCGCTATGTATCTCTTTTACAGCACGAACTTGGAAATAATAATAATAATAATAATAATAATAATAATAATAATAATAATAATAATAATTTGAAACTCGATTCTTCTCTCCTCCAATATGCCTCTTTAACTAAGGCCCCTTCCACACAGCTGAATAAAACCCCACATTTTCTGCTTTGAACTGGAATATATGGCAGTGTGGACTCAGATAACCCAGTTCAAAGCAGATAGTGTGGGATTTTGTGCCTTGATATTCCGCAATATAGGCCTGTTTGGAAGAGCCCCCAGTGGTTCTAATATCATGGCCCTTTCCCACAGCCCTATTTCTCAGAATATCAAGGCACGAAATCCCACAATATCTGCTTTGAACTGAGTTATCTGTATCCACACTCAGATAATGGGGGGTTTCCTGCCTTGATATGGGATAAAGGGCTGTGTGGAAGAGCCCTTTGTTGGAGGAGTTCTCTCAGGCCCTTCCACACAACCATTTAATCCAGAATATCAAGGCAGAAAATCCCACAGTGCTTCAAATTGTTTCTGATAATCATGGGTTTCCTAGGCAATATTTCTTCAGAGGAGTTTTGCTTCCTGGCTGAGATGATGTGGGTTATTTAAGTTGTATTGTTTTGGTTATTTTTTAAATGGTATTAAGTTTATAGTTAGGTTGCTTGTAGATTGTATTTTGATGTCATGTGTTCTTTGTAGGTTTTTGAATGTTTGCCATATGTGCTGGAAACAGCCCCGAGTCCTTTCAGTAAAGTATTATTATTATTATTATTATTATTATTTGAAACACAACAAGATACTGGCTGTTGTATTAGATCACAAGTCGGACACTTCCCAAGTGTCTAGGACTGTGTTGTACTGGCAAATAATGCGTGCAGATCTCAGTAAGGTGGCGTTTTGCAGTTGGCAGATGGTAATCTTGTCAGTTCCGATTGGGTTTAAGTGCAGGCCAAGGTCTTTAGGCACTGCACCCAGTGTGTTGATCACCACTGGGACCACCTTGACTGGCTTGTGCCAGAGTCTTTGCAGTTCGATCTTTATATCCTTGTATTATTATTATTATTATTATTATTATTATTATTATTATTATTATTATTATATGACTTGGCTCATAATAATAATAATAATAATAATAATAATAATAATAATAATAATAATACCTTTACAATGTATTATAATAATAATACATTTACTCAGGATAGCAATAAAATATCTCAAAGATGCTAATGGGAAGTGACTGAAAGGCACCCAACAAGAATATATGGCTGGACCTAGGCTTGAGGGGTGCTCAAGTTCAGGAAAAAAGTCCCACTTCCTCCTAGTTTGAATATTATTATGAGGCAAGTCATAAAATAATAATAATAATAATAATTAATAATAATAATAATAATAATAAAAACTAGGAGGAAGTGGGACTTTTCCCTGTACTTGAACACCCCTCAAGCCTAGGTCCAGCCACATATTTTTGTTGGGTGCCTTTCAGTCACTTCCCATTAGCATCTTTGAGATATTGTATTGCTATCCTGAGTAAATGGTGATAGACCAGGTATGGGCCAATTTGGGCCCTTTCAGGTGTTTGGACTTCAACTCCCACAATTCCTAACAGCCTCAGGCCCCTTCCTTTTCCCCCTCAGCCCTTCCAGATATTGTCGGAAAGATCCGGACGACGAGAGAAAGTCATACGACTGAAAGGACTGTATTCGATTTTGAGACAAATCCCTCTGTGCAAATTCAAGCCCCAATCAAAGCTTATCTCCTTTTTAAAAAGCAAACCAACCCCTTATCATGTTCTTGGGAAATCTGAGCAGAGAAGTCTAGGAAAGAAGGGGATTCGGACACAA